AATATGCACCGTAGATAAAAGATATTTTTGTTATCATTAATAACTTATCAACAAAATTTCCACAAAAAAATTAAAAAAGACCTTTGACAGAAAAACTGGGGGGCTATTTGGCAAACTGGGGGAACTTAACCTCTCAAACTCCCCTAGTTGCTGTACAGATTGTACAACGAATTTTAATTTTTTTTATAATTTTGAATAAAAAAAAAAATCCTTATTCTTATTTAAAGTAAAACTATCAGTTCCCTTTAGTTAAAGCCTTCAAATTTCAAAGGCTTTTCCTGTCAGTTATCTGTAACGCTACTCAATTTTCGATGATCATAGTCTTTCTTCGACATTTTTTCCACTTGAACCACTATCGTCACTTTTTTAATATTATCTTGTATATTCTCATCCAACGCGTCTGTATATGTTTATATATATATATATATATATATTGTTAATTATACTTAACCGGAAAAGCCGATACGATAAAAAACGACACGATTACCTATTTTGCGTGTTGAGTTAATTTTCATAAAGCACCAGTAGGTACTTGACCGAAACATTATTTGTTTTATTGTTGTTATAACTAAGTAAAAAACACTCAACCGTAGAGACCTGGAATATTCACCGAACATCAATGTTAGTATTTTCCACAGATATGCGAGATCATTTTCAGAATAATTTTCAAAAATCCATTTCCTACTTTTTAAAAGTTGTGAAACAAATCGTGTAAAAATGTATACGCACCGGAATCCGAGTGCGTGTAGTGACGTATAATAAATATATTACGGTTCAAAAATATTGCTATGTCATAGTTTCTATATTGTTGATAATAATGTTATTACCATAAAAATGGAAATTTTACGGGATAATCTGTACAAACACGTTCAGAATAGTGTACATAATAATAACATGCAAGTCATTTTTTTCCCAAGACATTATGCCCGGTGTAAAGTAAATACCAGCAATCATAATATTAAACTTTTATACGAATACGAGTACATTATATTACCTATATTATAACACATGAAATGTATAAATAAATAGCATAAATCGATCGATTGATTGTATCCATGAATAACTTTTCTATACCAGTAATTTTGCTCCAATCAAAAACTCTATAGGAACTTTCTTGTAGTATTTTTGGTGTAGTTAGTGTATTGAGGAAGTCATTATTTTTATTTTCTTTGCAATTTTTTTTAAATAAATCGGAAATCCTGGTAATTTTTGTTGTTTTCTAGGTTACCTTGGCAACAAGGGAAAACATACGACTATAATAATACTTTGCTCAGAATTTTTTTTTTTTGTTAGCAATCGTTTATTGTTGCATACATACATCTTCTCTTCCAATTTCCCACCAAGAATACCCAGCAGCAGTATCAGCTTTTTAAAAGACAAAAAGAAGAATTGTTGTAGTACAGTAAATAATATTTTATATTCTACGGAATATTATAAGGTTATTTTTGGTTTTGCGAAAAAATATTCAATAGTATAATTCAAAATAGAATGTGGGAAATTCGAATCTACAGTATAATGCTCACATGTATTTCATTAATTTGCATAGTTGTATTATTACCCGTAAAATATGTACTTTATACACGTTACGTGTAACACGTATAATATATAGTGTACCAATACCGAATTTTACAGTTCATCGTAAAAGTTTTTCGTATTTGTAAATAAAAAACAACAGCTGATACTGTTGACAGTGCCACTATTGTAGGTGGGAAGTTTAGAAGACAGAATATACACGTAAAATTATTAAATTTATATCTGTTCATGACGATAAATCATCGCTAAAAGAAAAACCATTTCGAACAGAATATTATTAGAATAGTATTGTTTCCCTAGTTACCAAGGTAATCAAGAAATCGACAAAAAATAAACAACAAAATTATCAGGATTTTCCATTTATAAAAAAAAAAAAAAAAATTACAAGAAAAATCAAAAGTTTACCTCCTTAATCCACATACTAGATCAAAAATTCTATTAAGCTTTTGATTGGAGAAAGAAATCTGATAGAAAAGTAGTTTTAAAATTGTGTTCATTTCGGAGAAAACTGAGTTGGCCCGGGTCTGCCCGCTGGCTACGCCACTGGATTTGCTACGTCCGAGCGAGATTTCCACGATAAATGAACGGCGGCGATCGATTTTTTCGAAAAAAAAAAAAAAAACTTTTCTTACGCCCTTTCGCAATGTGTCTAATATTATATCGTTATTTGCATTGCGGGATGATATGTAAAAACGTGTCACCCGCTCGCGATTTCGTTCGTCGATTCGGCGTCGGCGGTGCCTATGCCAACTAGTCCGTAAAATCCGTTTTTTTTTCTCTCCGCGTTTTTACAGTTTTCATACCTATCCACGTAAATCCGAGTAACGGATTGCGCAACGTGAAAAGATAGTGTATAAGTATTGGATTTCTCAATAGACACCTATTATAAAACCGAACAACTGCTATCACCATTATTACTGACAACTACATAATGTTTTTATACCAAAGTGACAACATAATTATTATTATTATTATTATTATTGTTAAAGGCGCGTGAACGGTATTATAATACCTAATGTTACTGTCAAAATAAATGTCTGTGTCCGCGTGTGTGTGTACGTACACGTGTAAACGTCGTTATAATGTATAAAAAAAATTGAAAAAATAATAATGCGTTCTATATTTTCATCGTCATCATCGTCATCGTCATCGTATCGCGTTATTATACATAATACTTCCTCATTCATATGTCATTACATACGGACTGCGAACGTATTTTAATTTTCGGAATTAAGGAATATTCCCTACTCCTTCTTCTTGTCCTTACATAGTCGTGTGGCTTTTATAACTCTATACGAGTTTTCGCAGTCGAGTACAAATGCTATGATATAATATATTCTTTGGACACAATTACGTTAAATTCAAAATCGAGAAACCCGAGTGCGTGAAACAAAAAAAACAAATTAAAAAAAATTAACATACTCGCCCTATCACTAAAAATATCCAAACCACCCCCATTCGCTGAAATTTTAAGCAACATTTCATGAAATTGATCAAAAAAAATATGCGCTCCGTGACTAAAAACAAAAATTGTTTTCCCAGCTACGCCCTTGAAGACATTGAACAACCTAACCCGAGGCCTGAATCTCTATCAATCTGTCTGCTTCCCGCCCATTTCTCTTCACTCCGTGTTTCGAGCATTCATAACCATTTTAACGGTGTTGTCATCGTTTCTGCGAGTTCCGTGTCCAAGCAACTGTAACTTTTGACGTTTATTGTGACCAGGGCCGTTCTTACATCAAAATAATTATTACCTGTTATAATAATTGAAATCTATATAACACTGTATAGATCGTCTGAGTTTATTAATCCAATGATCCTCGATCGTTTATAATACTATTATGTCGGAAGGTATGAATTTTCGTAAATGGATTTCGAACGACTGTCAATCACCGCCCGGAATTTCATTCAATATTCATATTATTACCGAGGACTTGATTGGTAACGTTATAGTCGCCAAGGTACATTCACGTGATTCGTGTGTGTAGTAACAACAATTGAATTACGCAACAAATGGAAACATAATATTACTTACTTACCGGTCAAAAAATCTGTTTAAGGAGAAAAAAAAAAAACAATTATGTGATCACGAAAACAACGCTCTGACAAGCGACACCGTTACACTGCTTTTCTTATATTTAAGCGCTGATGTGTTTACCTGCATAAACGTAGTACAATACATCCGACAATTTAAAACGAATCATACGCTCGTATACATTTGTTTATGTACATAAATACTTACCGAACACATTAGTTTATGATAGAAATATATAATATCTTATTGATTTGTCGATTATTTTTAAAATTCATTACGTATTCGTGTACTCGTATACTCAAAGGCGCCCACGATGAGGGAGGCTGGGGAAGAAATTTCCTTCCCTAAATCGTAGAAAATTGCAATTTGTGTTCAATTAATCGACCTTTTGGACTTTTTCTTACTAAACATTATTACCACGACAAATCAAAAAAGTATTTTGCATACAGGTAATTCCAAATTATAAACAAGTAGTGTTTCATTCTTCAATACTTTAATTGTATAATAAATACTTAATATTGTTCATACGTATAGGTGCACTCGAATAGCGTCGAAACGAAAGCGAATTTTTCAGCTGGGTGGACTGCCTACCTGCCTAATATTATAGAAGTTGCGTTTAGGTCTCCAAATGATAAACTTAAATTTTCAGTCCGATTAAAATACTACAGTGGAAATTAAATATCCTGACTACAACGCTGGCAACGTACAATACGGTTGTCACGCAGAATAATATATCCGTTTGTAATTGTTAATCTATGAATAATTGACTGTCGAAAAAAAATATTTTCAATATGATAAAACACAATAAAAAAAAAAAAAAAAAAACAACCAACACTATTTAACAAATTGTTGTCCCTGCAATAATTGTGTTTATCGATGGTATACGATTTTAATCGCTCTATACAGAATTAAAACAAAGAAAAGTCCCGGAGGAAAGAGTGGAAACCTCCAGTCACTGCCCTCCATAAATTCGGCATTGCACGATAAACATTTTATAATATTTTAAAATAACACGAAATCTAATGTTCGTACAGGTTTGTGCGAGAATTGAGTATAAATCAGTAGGCGTACATCATTATTAATAATTGTTTATTACAAACTCGTAAAGACGGTATAGATGGTAGTTCAAAGTCCAATAACAATTGCAATAGTCTCGTCATGGCCGTCGCGATTGTGTTTTATTATTATTACGACAATCGACTCTTGTTTTTTTATATATTGTCTGTACGCCACTGTTTTAATTAATAATTTACAATAGCACGTACGAAAATTGTGTTACGGTAATTAACAATAATGTTTCCGCGTTGTCTTAAATTTATACTTGTACAAAACAATTGCTGTTGGGTAACTAGAAAATACGGTAATAATATTCAACGTGAAGAATACCTATTCAGATTTAGGTACTTCTTTATACATTTAAATAATCGTCTTTCGCACTTGTTTTCACTTGATTTATTTATTATTATAATTATTATTTTTTGATTAGCTTATTCACAAAAGTCGACGAGATTAACAGGTAAATTGACTTATAGTTAGAGAACCCCACCCCCTCCCGGTATTAACTTATCACGTTGACTTCATAATAATTGTTTTTACATATACATATATATATATACAGGTTATTCGTTTTAACAACTAGGTCGTCAATTATTGAAAATATAACAGTTTTATAAAGTCGTACTTTGAACACGAAGAATGTGATAAATAACGTATATTCGTGTAGACACCTAGGTATAGCATACATGACCGATACACTAAAAATATTCTCGTCGACCGGACTAGAAGTTGTCGATTACGCTGCACGCAATGATGTGTGTACGACCGAAACTGCAGCTCTTCTGATCGCGATTTACACGGCCTTTGATGTTTCTCTACATTTTTCAGTAGCTTTTTCTAAAGCATCGATAATTGTATACCTGAGGCCGCCTTTTTCCAGAGCGCTAAGACCGGCAGCCGTAGATCCTAAACATAAAATTACAAAACTCATTGAAACACTATGGAAGTAATATTGTCCACGTGTATAATAAGTGACAATTCTATGCGATATTAGTGGTGATAATTATGGTTCAATGAAATATTTTTTATTTATAATTAATAGTTCATGTTTCGAACCAAGGGCAATGGTGGCAATAGGTGAAAATCCGTTAAAATTTCAATTTTATTCGATGTGAACGGCGATGGGCCTTAACCCCTACATCCCGTAATCCTCGACAAAAATGGATTTAAATTATTCTATTTTGTTATATTACTATGTTTTTATAATAAATAAATAAAAATATATTTGTTTACGAGTATTTGTGTTCATTATGAAAAATATTGTTTAAATACAGTATAGGTACCTACATTAAAAATATCCAAAACGAATTAATCTGGACGATTGCCCTATTTTTTTTTTTTTTTACCGAATTACTCTATAACACCTGTCCGCACTAAAATATTTTCGAGGGGAGGAGGAAGGGGGCGGTTTGCTTAACCCCTCAACATTTCGGTCTACGCTCTCGTAACACCTCGTAAAACTGTCAGTGTATACTGTAGTGGAAAATTCAATACTTACCGGCCGGCGAGGTAACGTCGTCTTTGAGTTTTCCCGGATGTTCTCGGGTGTCTCTGACCATGGTTCCCGCGCCCAGGACCGTTTGCGAGGCCAACCTGTACGCCATGTCCCTGGGCATACCCATACGGACCGCACCGTCGGCCAACGCTTCGATAATCACGTACACCTGTGTCAAAATAAAGAGAGAAAAAAAAAAAAAACCTAAAATAACCGATTTTTACGTTGTTGTATAATATTCGATTCACCGCATAGCGTATGGCCGCCAATAATGCACAGATTATTGGCTGGGTATGCAGGCGTCGCAGCCGACGCTTTTATATATTGGATACGAGTTGCCATGACGTGTTGAAAAAATTATAATAATAAAATGTACCCCGATGACGATATCGTGTACCATCTTTATAATGACACACGATATTTTTTATCAATCAATAGTTTATCGATGCACGTATTATATACATACGGGTACATACCAATACAATATTTATAATGGCCGTGGTCCGTTTTAAATAACAAATGAATATCGATTATGTTATATATTATCACTATTACTATTACTATTACTATTACTATTACTATTATTATTATTATTATTTCGCGATAATGAAAAGACGCGGACGACGTGTAAAAAAATAATATACGTCCACGGTTTTTGTTACGGAGTTTTAACGCTTTCGAAAAATAGATTTCGTGTGTCTCATATTGTAAACCGTACTTACTTTATTATTGTTATTATTGTTATTATTATTACGTTGTCCTGCGCAAGACTCGGATTTTGTATTTTTTTTCTATTTTGTACACACGCATACACAATGACAACCGCGTATTATTGTTGAAGGGTCTGTTAAAACACGCCCGCACAATATGTGCGCGTACAATTGTCGTTTGCCCGACGCGGCAGCAGGAACAACGCGCAGGGGCAAACTGCTCGTGCATGCCGGTGACGTTAAAACGCGCCGGGGCGAAGCGTGTTTTTCGCGCCCCTGTAAAACGGCGAAAACTCAATCCCGCCGCAACCTTATCGCGTCAACAATGTCGTGTTGGTTTTACATTCGGGTATTGTCGGCTTATCACTGCTCGCGACCCGAGCGATACGCAATCAATGAAACCGGCGTGAACGACGGCGTATCGGCTATGCTAGGCTGTGCCCATCGCCAGCGTTCCGTATCACGCGTGACCAGTCTCCCGAAACGATTGTACGCCCCGAGGCGACTTTACCGGTCATCCCTGCGGTAGCTACGCTACTGATTCTCGCAGGCGTTATTATTAGAAACATTTCGTTTGGGGGTTCGGTGCCGGCGCATTTTTCGGCCCAGACACGCGCCACTGGGGGGGAAAACTCTCACGTCTCGCGGTGTGGTCGTAGCTTTCGACGATTAGTTCGTTTTTTTGTTGAAAAGAAAAAAAAAAACTTCCTACAGACCGCATATAGAAACATCGTTTTTCAATATTTTCATCTCAAACTGTATAATATAGAATACGTCTTTTTTTTTTTTTTTTTTTTTTTTTTTTGGTACATTTTGTATATTACAAATGATGCAGCCGGAAAAGTATAATTTATGACCATAACTTACATAAGCCGGACCAGAACCGCTGAGCGCAGTGATCGGATCCATCAGATACTCTGAAACGCGTTCCGCTGTGCCCACGGACGTCAACAATTTTTCGGTTAACTTGTCGTCTTCGTCTGTCGCGTGGTTTCCGGGCACGTACACAGATGCGCCGCACTGGACCAACGCGGGCGTGTTGGGCATCACTCGTATAACCCTCGAGCCGCCGGGTAAAAGCTAAACAATAAAAAGCCATCGTAAACAATAATACGAATGCTATATTTTATAGTATATTTTTTCGATACTGTATTTAAATGTAATCGGAGAAATATCAGAGCGAAAAGAGTCTATGGAAAAGAGAGTAGGAAAAAAAGAGAAATTAATGGATTGGACACGCGTACTATACATCATGCGCCCAAGACATTACGTTGGGATACTTGGATTGATTATTTTAGAAACGTGTGTGTGCGTGTGTATTATAGTACGAAATATGGGGGAACTCCGCGAACGGAATGTAAACGACAATACTCCGGTCAGCGATATATCAGCATTTTTAGATTCTGAGTGGAGCGAAGAAACTTATGGTTTTACAATGGTATGTTTAATTTTTTTACTTCTGTGGACAACTTTTCTACCAGCAATTTTGCTCCGCTTTACAATGATAGCACTTTTCACAAAAAGGAAATCTGACTGGGGAGGTACGTATGTTAGGTCATTTGTTGATTTTCTTAGGAGTTTTCCTAATAAATGGGAAAAAACGGAAAAATGTACGAAATGTAGGTATTAGTAAAAGAATATTATGGCCTTTTTTAATCCTGTGCACAACATTTCTACCAGAACTTTTGCTTTAGTTTACAATAATAGCACTTTTGCTAAAAGTAAATCTGACTGGAGAAGAACTTTAGGAAGCAGCACTATCAACCGAACTCTGCTCAGAATCGTTTTTTCGTTAACAATGGTTAATCATTGCTTTCAAATATACATTAAATTACCCATAATAGTAGCTGCACCTCGGTGCACTCCAATCTCCATTATTCCTAGAATAGCTTTTTTACATACATTTTTTAATTTTTTTTTTTTTATTTGATAACTATATTATATAGTTGAATCGAATTTAACGATTTCGACTGACTTTTTGAGATTATTTAAAATCACGTTCTCGATAATTTATAATATTCTTATAATAAATATATATTTTTGACGGAACATATTAAATTTCCATTTGGTTAATCTATATAGGTATTACCACGATTTTATATTTTATATATCTATAATATTATTATCTAACGTCAAACCGATAAAATGGTTTTCTATCTATAGTTATCTATTGGTATATACTATTACAATTATTGTTTTTATCGAAACCGAAAGAAATATAAAACGCTTTAAAAGCGAATTATGATCCACGCTACATTTTTTCGGAAATTGCTATCATAATATGATATTATAACGCATGCAATACAAAGAAAAATATGATTATTACACGAAATTATAATACACAATATTACTGAGTAAAACTTAATACTTAAAAACAACTGTATCTGTCAGTGACTAGGTATTAAAATGAACAAGAGCTGTCCTAGGATAATAGGGACGGATACAGACACTGCTGTAAGTGGAAAGTTGGAAGGTAGGAATATAGACGGGAATTTAATGTATATCTGTAAATAATTATTAACAATTGCTAACGAAAACCGATTCTGAGCGGAGTTTGGTTGATAGTGTTGCTTTGTCAACAATATATATGTCATATTTTGGTAAAATAATTACATATGCATTAAACATTTTCTTTAATAATATTTGTTTAATATTGTACCTATTTTCCTGTTCTCTCGGTTTTCCCATGTTTTTTTTAACCGATTTTTCCAATTTATTGAAAGAACTCTTGGAAAAATCGAAAAATTACTTCTCTAAAGTATCCAGTCAGATTTCCTTTTAGAAAAAGTGCTATCATTTAAATCGGAGCAAAATAACTAATAGAAAAGTTGTCCACAGACTAAAAAAATAAACATCATTGTAAAACTATAATCTAGAAGTAGAATATTCGCTCCACTCAGAATCTAAAAAATACACTCGTAGTTTTAATATTTAAAGAACGCATCATATTGTAATTTATAAGTTATAAATTCAAAGCTTGGGGGGACTAAATGCATTTAAAAACGTCAAAAAAACACTTTAAAATAATTAATAAACAAAAGGGTCTAAAAGTCCCCCTTAAACGACTCTAATATTTATTAAATACAATTTTCTAAAACTACCTAAACACATAATTAACAGAAAGTATTTTTTTTTCAAATAAAAGTGTAAACGCTAAAAAAATTTCTTTGTGTTAATCATTTGTGCAGTGTTAGAAAATTGTATTATTTAATAAGTTAGAGTCGTTAAAGGGGTGAATTTTAAACTGTTCTACCATTTTAACTTTTTTTTAAATATTTCTAAGGTTTTTTTTTTGCAGATTTCAAGTGAAAATTCCCGGCCCTAATTATAAGTTTGTAAACATACAAATTTGATATTATTAGTAACAAAATATTGATATTGTTTCAAATAATGGCGTTCGGGCAATGGTTTTGTGTCAGTACCTGGACCCAGGCCGAAAAATATATTTAAGAATACTGAGATAGACACTTGTAATGTAAACAAAAGAAAAAAGTGTACTAGCTCTGGTTCAAATATATAAACCTAAAACAAATTTTCACTATATGCTATCGCAATAGGATTATTATACGTATGCATTTTAAATCTTTTACATTTTAAATACAAGTACGGATAATAATTTGTTAGGAAATTATACGGATATCGAAAAATCCCTCTATGAAAACATATTAGCCTATTATAAACCTATAATAAACGTTTAATCTTATTCGCAATTTATCTTATTAGCATTTTGTGTAAAAGTCTATTACAACTTGCCGAGTACCACGTTAAAACTCTGAATACACATTTTTTGCCAGGTGCCTAATACCTACACAATAACAACCAATGAGATAGAAAAGGACTCGGCAAAGTATGTTGCGGTGACGTCTTTTAAAGATTCACTAAAATTTTCGATATTCAATAGTTTACTTACGTTAATAAAAAAAAAAAAAAGCTGTCCTAGGATATTTGGCACGGGTGCGGCCACTGTCGTAGGTAATTTAATGTACATCTGTAAGCAACAATTAACCATTGCTAACGAAAAAACGATTTTAAGCAGAGTTCGGTTGATAATGTTGCTTTGTCAACAATATATCATACATATGCATATATCTGTTATATTATAGAAAAACAATTACATATGCATTATGTATTTTCTTTAATTATATTTGTTTAATATGGTACCTATTTTCCCGTTTTTTTTTTTTTTTAAATCGTTGAAAACCGGAGCAAAATTGCTGGTAGAAGACTTGTCCACACAAAAAAAAAATAAAATAAATAAAATAATAAACATTATTGTTCAACCAATACATGCCTCGCTCCTCTCAAAATCTAAAATCGTTCGTACAATCATTATAAAATTCGAAATCTTTTGTTTTTGTATTTAATCTAGCCTGACAAGTTACACATATTGTTATTCAAATTAATACGCCTAGAACAATATTAGATATACCTAGGTAATCTAATGTCCCTACGTATCACGTTGAAATTTGCACTTTTAACCGATTTACTTAATTCGTTTTCGCCGCTATCGCGAATTTATTTTAACCTATTAGACGTTTACCGTCTGGTAAAACGATTATAAATTTCTCTTCGCGCATCATATCATAATACCTAATAATATAGGTAGGTACCTGCCTTTTTTTCATAATGCATATATAATCAAAGCTGAACAGGTTAATGATTTTTTTCAACTCAGTTAAGTTAAATTTAAATTTAAACAAAGCTAGTTCAAAATAATTTATCATCAATTCAACTAAGTTAGAAGTAAAACAAAACAAAAGTTAAAATTAACTTTTCAACTAGGTTTAAGTTAATTAAAAAAATTTAAAAAATAATGTACATATTGTCTATTACCTACTATAATGACCTAATAATCTACCTACACCCCAACCGGCGACAACAGTAACAAAAAACACGCATTATTCATAACATTTCGTATTTTAAATGTTCATAATTTATCGATAACAATTATAATAATATATGCATTTATGTGAGCATACAAATAAAAATTGAAATCAACTTAACTTATTTTAACATAAAATTAACACTGGTTAATTATTAAAAGTTAATTCTTTTGTGTTCCTCAATTTACAATTATAACAATAATTTAAAAAAAATTAATTTATTAAGTTAAAATGTTAAATTAACTTAACTTAAACTTATTAACTCATTAATGCCCAGCCTTCCGTACAATCGCTGTATTAACGCGCCATATACACAAATTTCACACTGCACTTTATTCTATTAAATTTGCCGCGTTTAGTGTGCATTGTATTCTCGCGTGTAAATACGAGTGGATTAATCAATTGTTTCACTAGGATGATATATTAACCGATGTTGAAAATGCCGGCAGGTCCATCATGTTATTATAATAGATGGCACTTATTATAATATGCGCTCCCCTCTGCTAACCCAAAAGTCTATAACATCCGTCCTAGTTTTATTTCCATACCACGACTATTTGGGAAATGTTTAGAAGAGAACAACGAGAACATGCAATATTATAATATTATTATTATCACTATACAGATATCTTAGAAAAAAACACCCCGGATATACTTCGCACTACCTATGTATAGGCCACTGTTGTAGGTGGGAAGCTAGGAAGTACAACGCTAGGTATATAATATACTATTTATGCGGCAATTTCGTTAACATATTGAAAGCAACAATTAACCATTGCAATCGAAAACAATGTTAAACGGAGCTTAGCCAACTGGTATAATAGGTTATGGGCTTCCATAAAAATAAAATCAATAATACGCATGTATTGTGCGCATTGTTTTCAGGCTGTTCGGAATCCAAAAAATGTACCGTCGATCGAGCGAAAAATCCGCACCTTAAAAGGCAGCGGCGGCGTGGAAAAAATCGGAATATTTTTACCGACCGTAAGTGTTCTCCGGAAAAAAAAAAACAACCCCACATATTCGTAAAACGAATGTATATGGATTTTTCCAGTAGCATATTTAAGGGGGGGGGGGGGATAAAAGAGACACGTATTTTCACCTCGACCATTTTATTCAGTATCTATTATTTATTTATGACGAGATATTTTTTTAAATTTGAATTTCTTTGTTTTTTATTCGGAATAATCAAAAATGTGTAAGCTACAACATAATATATTATTATTATTATCATATTATTATTTAAACAACTAAGCTATAATATATTATATTCTTATGGTTATCTAAACAACATGAACGTACCTATACATTTTTTTTTGTTTAAAACGAAACTCATCTATGGACCGCTACAATAACGAAAGAAGTTAGTACCTATATCAAAACTGTAAATAAACCAATAGTATGATTACTAATACCTATAGTTATTTTAATTCGATATTTTAGCGTGGATTGTAAATTACATTGAAAACATATCTATACATTTAAAGTTGAACTTTTCCTTTTAGCCTAGGTATAGTGTACACGTTATACAATGTACAGGTATGGCACAATTTCCAAATTCAATATGTCACCCCGTGACAAAAACCGATAAATACACTGGTTTCTTCACTATAGTCTGCGGAATCCAGAAAACAAAATAATGAATATACATAACCGGATGTACCTTTTCCAGTTGATTTACAGTGACGCCCATGGCGACGGACAACAAGAGATGTTTGGCCGTGAAATTTCCATGGATCTGGTCCAATACCGGCTTGACCACAGACGGTTTGACGGCTAGGAGTAAAACGTTCGAATTTTTCGCCACCACGCTGTTGTCGAAGGTTACCGTCGATCCAAATCCCTAGAAAAAAAAAAAAAAAAACAAGTCGTAATAATTTTTTTTAGTTTTTCGAATTTCGAGTATAGGTTTTTATCAAAACTATAGGTAAGTACTCACTTTAAACGTGTCAACGCACTGTACGTCTTGCGGCGCACAACTCGCCGTGATATTTTCTCCTTTGACCAGACCTGCAAACGACGGGAGAAAACAACGATAATTAATACGCGTCAGGCAGCAGTGGCGTAGCCAGGATTTATCAATGGGTGGGATCTAGGAATCTACAACCTTTTGAACTTTACCTACAGTCAGAAAAAAAAAATAAAAAAGCAATAGGGTGGTAAAAGAGGGGTTACAACACCCACCCTGCTACGCCACTGCAGGGTACCAGGTACCTATGGAAATCGTGCGCTGTACACGCAAACTCACCAGCCGTCAGAAAACCTTTGGCCAGAGCCTGGGCCATTTTCCCGGCGCCCAAAAATCCTATTTTCAACATATTAGCGACCGGATTGTACCAACGAATATATCGCTAATTTAGTCACTCGCGCGGGTTGCACAGTTCGTGTTCGAAATAATATACGCGGCGTCAGCGCAACTACACCGGGCGAGTATGTACAGTTTACTGGTGCAGATTGTGACCGAAACGAGTCGCAACAAAACGCATAATTTTTACTTCGGTGAATTTATGAATTAACCTTTGATTGCCACAATCAAACTGCGGCGGTAATACAGCGTCTAACTACCTACCAACAACACTTGTTAGAAATATTTGTGTTTGTTTTCGATAAGCACGTATACGTTATTATTATTATGTGGGTACCCGCCACAAACATAATAATAATTAGAGGTATGTACGGACACGGTTATCGATACGTACACTATAATATTTACACACGTAAATCCGTAAGTGTATTAGGTAAGTAGGTACCTATACGATAAGAAATTGAAATTAGCATGACGTGTTTTTTATGTTTTTGTTGTTGATTTGATTTTTTTTTTTTTTTTTTTTGTTTTTACGAGGCTTAGTCGTAAAATACAATACCTGTATTAGCGATGGTACAATACGGGTACCTATATCTGTATAAATGTATGTAATGATACGATTAGCCATTAGGCATCTGGTACAGCGTGTAGTACCTATGGAGTATGGGTACTTATTATAGTGTCGAGTAGCGCATAATATATAACTACTGTGCGTATAGTACACATACGTAAACGATAAACTGATTGTAATTAAAATTAGTAGTTATAATTATAATATTATAAAGTTTTTAATATAAAAATTAAAACCATAAACAGATAATATAGATAAGTACGTTTAATATTGTGTTGTAGGTACATTAATCGATGTAATAGATATAGGTACTGTTTTGTTGTACGTGGGCATGCTACCCGAGTAGTTATTATACGTCATCGCAAAAAAGTTTACTAAACTTATCAACATTCACCTATATAGTTATATAGTTATTATTGATTATACTTGTAGTTGATACTTGAAAGTAACATCCACCTTAACTTATCAACGATTTGTATTGACAATTGTGTACGAACAATTAAAACTAATAGGTAGGCATGGTAAAAATACACGAATATAATAGATGAATGGATATTAGTATTATTAATGGAATACCCATAGATACCAATACAGACCTAAAGTAAACAAGGTTTTTTTTTTTTTTTTCAAGTAGTACAACATTTCATTGCAAATAATACTTCGAAAAATACAAATATATTTAAAAAAAAAAAAATAGTGACAGGTACCTATTGTCTGAATAACATTATTAATATACCCATGTACACTATTTATTTGGCGTCTACCTACCTACCGAATTACACATCGTGCACAGAACTTAATACAATCCGTTTGGTGTGTACGGCTATATCGTAGGTAACAAAAGGTGGTAAATAAATGACACGTTTCTAAACCGCTTGCGATAATTTGACTTACACCTACCTGCCATTATCACTTAGGTAATATTATTACCTAAACGATAATCTAGTTTTCCAGAATAATTTAGTACAAACGCTTTTGTATAAAGGTACCAATTGCCGATGATGTGATATTTTTCCGCGGAACATTCAATATAAGTACCTACTGATTTTCGGTTTTAATCATTTATCGTTGCCCTCAACATAAACTGTCGTTTTAAATTTCAACTGTAGTTACTATAAATTAATCATACTAAAAACAAATAAAATAATATTTACGAACATTGTATTATCTTGGAAGTCGAAGTTTGTTAATGCGTTATTAAAAGGGATATAATTCAAGATCGGGAGAAGTGGCGTGAAGTTGTGGTGGCGATGAAAACTCACGCAGAGTAGATAAAGCCAGAAGGAGAATATATATCTTATTACCATTCCACCCACAACAGAGGCACACCCGTCAGCAGTACCTAGGCATCTGCTGTTTTATAATAGCCAAAGAATACAATTTGAATTAATTAACAACATATTTAATCCACATTGCATACAACTTAATAAATATAGGTATTGCACGTAGTGTAATAATTAATAGCTGAAATGTTAAATATCATATTAATACAATACAATATTAATGTCAATGCGCATATATTTACGTTTTTATGTTTCTTTAAACATTAAACTTTAAACTTAAATACATTTTAAGGTAAAATTGTAAAGTCACGGTACAAGGGGGGAGGGAGAGGGCGTAATTTACACATCTGCCACAGCTGCTAAAACATTTAAACAGAGTATAAGTAACTGTGTTTAGGTAATGACGTAAACAGGGATCTTACTTAAGCAACCGATTGATGCAGTGAAGTAACACACAAATTTGGCCTCACGCAAAAAGAAAAATGAGTCCCAAAAATATATTTTAGATAAAACATAAACTGGATGTAAGACACTCAACATATTTTATTAATTTCAAAACATTAAACTGACGTGTATACACAATATCAATTTACTTTAGGGAATATTACACAACAAGGGCTCCGAATCATTGTGGGCCCTCCTGCAACGCGGGGTCTGTGAGCCCTTAATTACGCCACTGCACCGAAGAAGACGCTCCAGAAAAAAAACGTCTTCGGGTGAAAATTGTATTAAGGTGAAAAAATTGTATTAAGAAATACCTTAAAGTGGCGTTGCGGGAAAACCAATGGAGAAAATCTTTTTAAATACTTTTTAAATCGATAATATTTATTTTTATATCTTGGCATTTTTACAAACCATGTTTCATTTTCAGTCATTTGGCGAATATCGTAATGGAAGCAATAGAAGAACGTGTAAAATTTCCTCAAACCGTTTAAACCACTCAAAATATGTCCGAGACAGAATACCATATCCAAAAGATTGCTTTGTCAAAAGTTTCACTAGAACTTTTCCCATTGTGTAAAGTATGTCCGTATCTTTTTAATAATGAGTAGGCAGGTACCTAAATGAGATGAAACTATGAAAATAGTAACACAGTGCCAAGAATTTAAAAATAAAGGAGGGGTGGGTATAGTTTTTTGTAAAATAATAGCTACTTATAACAAGAACATATTTTATCCCTATTTAAAATACAAGGTTTGCTTATCAATACATTGTGCATTAAGGGAAATAAAATTCATATTGAGCAACATACATTGTTTACAAAAATATTAGGTACAAAATTTAATTTTAAACATAAATCAACATTGACCATGATCATAATTTTAAAAAAAACCTATTAAATTATATCCATCTAGCTGTAATCAACTATGTAGATATCAATTATTTATATATATACCATTTATAATTTGATCAATTATTTTTTGATCCACTAAGGACGGTGGTGTTAATATACATATTTTGGTTCAATGTTTTCCCCCATTATTAAATAAAAAACTACAAAAAATAATTTCCTCAAAACACCAAATACGGAAAAAACTCCTGATGTTGATCAGAGCATGATTTCTAGTAGTAATGTTGTTTTTAAAAAAAAAAAAAAATGATAACTTATAAATCCAATACATTTCTCGTTAGAAGCTTAAAACAATTTTATATTCAATAATTAAAATAATGCAAGAAGAAAATGTAAACATTAAAATTAATTTTTACAAAACTTTTTACCATTGTAACTGATATTATTTTATTCTAGGAACTTAATATAATGAAAGGTCTTCAATATGCATTCAATATTTATAGATTTGAGAATATTACTGGAGATTAAAAAAAAAAAAAAGTTAGTTTTAATAAATAATAGTATATCTCTTCGCCGAATTTGTTATTATACTAAACCAAATAATTTTACACAACAAAATAGCGAAGGCAGTAACTCTGAAAACAATTCAATGTTAACAATAATTACATTATACTTATCTATTGGGCCAATAAATGTAGAGCAAAATATAAAACATTGTTAATGTTTTAATTTTTTTTGGAAGTAAATGCATACAAACGATGTAACTGAAGTATTTATAATGTATTTATATTCATTTTGAATAGTTTAAACATATATTTTTGGTACACCAAATAGTTAACAAATAATATTATCTAAACAACTAATAAAAAGTCTTTTTTTTGTTCACATCAAAACACAAAACAAAATTCAGAAAAACTGAGAACAAATAAACATAAAAATTTAAAAATCAGATTTCAAAAACATAAGATCAACATAGGATTCTTATCCTGATGATGTTACATAAAAATAAATTAAATATAAAATTAACTAACCATATGGTATCTGACTGCCGAATATTTCAACTTAAAGAAATCAGTAAATAACTATCATTGAATTATTGTCATCCAATGACTCTGAAACACTATTTGCACATATTCTCAACGTACAACGTTGTCTACTTAACCACAGGAAACAATTGGCAGTTTCTGGAAATAAAAATTAAAAATCATTTTTTTTTTTTTTTTCATAATTTTATTTTAATTTTATATTTGTTTGAAAACATTTAATTCTCAAAAGATCATACACGAGTCTAAATTGTTTAAAATTATGAATACTGCAATACTATATCCGATTAGGCGATTGATATATTATACGAACACAATGGAAAATTGTTTATTATTTTATAGGTATACTTATGTTATTACGTAGGCGTAATCAATATAATAATAATAGTAATAATAGTAATAATAATAGTAATAAATAACAATTGTTTATAAATATTATTTATCGTTATATGACATTTTATATTAAGATAAATTAATTTTCGGTTTGCGTTAACCTAAATACACGAGCCATCACATTGCGTTTGATCCGCTGCAAGCGGTTTTCAACCAAAGTAGTATCATCTACAATAAACAATATAAGTATAATATAGAATATTGATTTTTTTTTTTATCATTATTATATAAATATTAATATAATACAAATTTAACAATTTCTTTTATATGTTTGAATAATGAGAACGTTGTGCTGGTGCTTATTACATATTATTAATATACTATAAAATATAAATAAACATTCACAAGCGTTTAAATTTTTTTTTATTTAATAATAATAATAATAATAATAATATTTTGTTTTTGGCCTTATTTATAAAGAGATCCAACAAAAGGGGCTCAGCAGCTATAAAAAAAATTAAAATTAAAAAATACCTATATATGTATATATATTATATAAACTAAATAATAAAATATAATATATATACATATTAGATTTGACAGTCCAATCGGAAACTTATACATTTTCATTTAGCAGATCTTTGTTCGTAATTGGCAAGTTTTTTTTAATCACATTAATGCTTATGTCAGCATAACAATAATATCTAATGGCGCGATGCCAAAGGAGCAGTCGTATATTTTATTAATTATATTATTAAACTGTTCTAATTCTGATAAAGTAATGCATCGGAATGTACAACCTACAATAGGGAAGAAAAATTGTTCAAATCCTATCCAATTTTTTTTTCTTCAACTATAATATGAAAGAAATTATTAATACTAATATGTATTATAACAATCAAATCTTGCTATTATGCTGACTATTCAGGTTTCAATTTAATATCTAAATAGGGCTAATATTATAAAATTTAATTTAAATCCAATAATGAAATCTATTCCGATTAGACTATAATAAGTAACATTCTATAATTTATAAGCGAGTCATTTCTAAAGATTTAAGGTCGTTCCCTAAAACTGCCATTTGTATGGTGTCTGAAGCCATGTCAGCACTGCTCGATGACTCCGTGTAGCTAGGTGTGCCTTCCGTCCACGTGGCCTCCACAGAATGTCTGCCTGCTGAACCCCCGATGCCGGATGTAGTGCTGCCCGATCCCACACTCAATGTAGACGACTTACTCTCGCCGGCGTGCGACGAGCCTGAAGGGCCATCTGTGCGCAACCCTGGTGATGGACGCCGTAAACGATTCATGCTAGAGCGTTTATCATACACGAAGTCACGGCGAATGGCATCCTCAAACGCTGGAGGTGGAGTTGAACATGTAGAAAAAGTGCCTTCTGGATCATTTTGATCGCGTGTTCGTGTTCTCGACATGCTACGACGTTTAGAAGGTGAACGTTTCAAAGGACACAAAAGTTTTTTGAACACAGATCTAAAATAAATTAATACAAATTAGAGCAGGTTGCATAAATATATCTTAACTACTTTCAAAATAATTACTATACTAACGTATTTATAAATAACATTTGAGTATTGCTAGTACGCTCAATAGTACTAACAACAATTTGATTCGGTAACTTTAATAAGTAGAGTTATTAAATAGATTGATATTATCAATGTTATTTTCAAAATTTCTGATAGTGTTTTAAAAATTTAATTTGTAGATGTAACAATTAGAGAAGTCTAAGGTATATAATAGAAAATTATTTGATTCATTATTAATGGCACTGTCTAATTATAATTAATAAACTGCAATAGATTTTTTGTCATTGATAAATTTCAAATGGCAACTAAAAAATAATCTAAATAAAATAGTGGAATGATTTTATGAGTTATCCAATATAATATTTAATTTAATTTCTCTGATAATCACATGCATATAACAGAGCCTATATATATTTTTTACAGAATCTAGTTAAAGGATCATTAGTATATTTACATACAGGCCTATATGCTACTGGCCCAAAAAAAAATAAAAATATTTGTATTATGATAAATCATTAATTAATAGTATTAATTTGAGATGTGTCGAATAAAAAATTGCAAATAATCAAACCAAACCAAATATCCAGTTAGATCTAGTTAGAAAATCATTTGATGCAGATTTTGCACGGTCGCCTATATGATGTTCTGTAGTGGGACAGAGCGCCTAGTTAGGAAAAAGAAAAATTCTATTTTTTTTTTTTTACATAATTGGGTTTCATAATCGTAAATCACAGAGCTGAGCAGTTTAAGAATGTAGATTTTTTTCTAACCTAACCTAACCTAACCTTTTAACTTTTTTAATGTTCATGTTCGATAAAATATTTTAAATTTCGGTTAGGTTTGATTCGACTTTAAAAATCAGGATTCATAACACTCTAGTATTAATGCATTTCCATACTTGGACATAAACTCCAGAAATCTCGTCGCATAAAAATCAGGTTTGTGTACGGAAACTGTGTCACCATCATGAATGATGGCTTTGAATGTGTGCTCTAATTTTTTCTTCAGTCGATAACTTTGTAATATATCGATAATTCCGACAAATAGTAATAGACTATCGCCACTACCACTTCTGGCAGGTATGCCACCTCTGGGTGAAGCACAATCTTCATCGGATGATGTTCCAGTATCTGCTTGAATACTTTCCATTGCCGTTGAATGAGCCATCAGACGTTGTCGATTAGCTTCAGCAGTCCGACTCAAAGTAGACGTTTCTGATAATGTATCTGTATCGTTTCCAACAGCCTTGCGTACTCGTGCCATACGTCGTTCTTCTTTTTCTCTTTGAGCCAGATCTACATTGTGAACGCCTACTAAAAGACTGTAATCCATAATTTTAAAACTCTCTAGTACTCTACAATCTCTTTGCATAGTTTTAAGAAGGGCCGAGTGGGTATCAGGTTCCAAAAAAATACCATCAGGATGATGTTCCTTGAAATCAAGATCTTTAAATGTAGGCGAAGATTTCTGTCTCTCGTCTTTGGAAGCTTTCCTCTTGTAAGTAGAACCTTTCAGATCATACTTTTGATGCATTTTTATATTAGAAGGTAGTAAATTGTTCATAGCTACTAATCTAATATTTTTTGAATTGCATTGGTAACAATAAAGACCGAAAAATTTTGGCAACAGAGTTCTTGGGTTCTGATTCAAATTCATATAGTAACCGGGAAGTAGTTTTTGTAAAAATTCACCTTCCTTGTGCTGTACGGTTTTCATGATGAATTCATCATCTCGGGTAAGGTAAAATATGGATCCACTAGCGCCCGGGTTAGACAACTCTCGGAGAGGTGAGTTACAAAACGATATGAGATAGTCGTCCGGCTGAATACCGAATAAATCTCTAAAATAGCGGAATGCAATTGGGGCATACGTTTTAAAAATAAACTCTGGATAATGGTGAGCTGGAGTATGGTTAGTGCCATCACTAGGGAATACGGTCGTCTCAACAGTCATAAAATCTTGCATAAGCAAATCGCGTTCAGGTTTAGAGGCGAGGCCTCCTACTGCGTGCTGTATACCCAGTTGAATGGAACCCATAATTTGACCAGTTTGAATTTTTTTGTAAGTGATTTCACCGTCGACTCCCACTCGCCTGTGTCCGAGTTTCTTCTCTTTTTCTTTGGCTTGGAGATCATCTTGTTCGGCGATCGAGATCTCCTTTTCAGCAGCAGCCACATCTAAAACAATCACAATCAAACGAAATCATTGATAAAACGTATTAGAAAAAAAACAACATAATATATTATCTAAAAAATACACATTGATTCGTAACACACGTATTCAATACAAAACACAATTAAATTGGTTTTTTTTTTTCTAGGATTTTCTAATGTTCACAAATACTTACTTAAGTTATCTAAAATATAATTTAGTAGGATTTCTAAAATAGGCATAAAGAACTATCATATCAAACGTTTTCGAAAAAAAGAAAAAACACAATATTTAAACTGCGGTGTAAAAATATAAAATTAATACTATGTGAGTACTGAGTTTATTACTATTATTATGTGAGGAACGTATATAGTTTAGATATTATACAGGAGGTACTGCCTAAATATTCGTTACAGTATTAAATCTTACCGGAACATTTTGCGCGTTTGTTACAAAAAATGATACACTTAAACTTAAAGAAATTAACCATAGTCGTGTAATAACTGTGGTACGCACGAAAATCTAGACAATTATTAAAATAATGTGCCGTTCGACCTATTATCAGCGTTCAAATTGAATATAACGATAATTATCGTGCTGGTCGGAATACTAACGTTTAGTACGCAGACTAGTTAAACAGATAAGAAGTAGCGTTTATTTTATAAGTAGGATCATAAAATGTCAAACCCATAATAATTCAACCAGGTTCCTCTGTACACAACTATGCATTGTTATTACAAAATATGACAACACACAACGCCGATACTTATTTTTTTTTTTATAATCGCGTGTTAAAAACAATTAGTACACTAATACACAAATAAATACAAATTAAAAAGAAACAATTTTTCATTATTCCGGCGGAGGACTGGATTTTTGATACACACACGCACACACAAAAGAAAACAATACGTATAGTTACCTATTTTAATTACCGGACTTATCCGAGGCTTAGCCCGGCACAATACAATATAATAACATGTAAGTTATCTATTTCTATTATTAGTTATTACCGATTAATAAAAAAATTAAAAATAAAAGGCAAGTGTATTTTTATTACTAACTTCAAAACTGTAATGTCGCGATCGCGTTATCGAAAATCTAACGTCGTAAAAAAAACGCACACGAATCACGGACCCGTTGAGAACGTTTCACGATTCGGATGGCATAAATGATTTTATACCGTGACCGGAGCGGGGGACGAAGCTCGAAGCTCGAACGCCAAACGAAAAGTGTTCGGGGGAAAGCGAAATTTCATTAGAATAGTTCTGCTCCAAGGATACCTACACGAGGCTCCGACAGAGTTTATTACTCGGGCCATCACGCGCAATATTATAACGTGCGACGGGGCGTAATGATTGATATTTTCGTAACAATTGAAAAGCTTACGTACCCAACGTATCATCGATAGTTTCGGGCTATTCTTTTACAAGTCCGTTGCCCCCATCCCCCTACAACGTTAAGCCTTGAAAAACGACGCGCGTGAGACCGACTTTTGGCCCCGTTTCTTTGCCCATTGATTCGCCACCCGCGTGTATTGAAATATGAATACGTGAATATATTACGTAACACCGATATTTTTAATATTTCATTTATACGTGTTTACAGACACCCAACGGTTACCGATCGAAAAACAGAATCCCACGACTAATCGTCTCCATTCTCGAGTTTCAAATCAATCGAGGACCCCGCACACATTCGACAACATCCAGCCGACACAGACCCTGAGGTATTTTTCCCTTTGGTTTCCAATTCACGACTCCTCTAGTTTTTTTAAAAATGTCTTCACTATTCCTCATCGTCGTGCATCCTACGTCCCAGCATTGCCTCCTCCACGTTTTCTTTTCATTATCATAAATTAGTCCGTATTAAATTAGTGTTCTACAAATATTATACTACATATTTTCTTCCAAAAACGTCCGAAGTCTTCTTTTCTCACTGAGATTAGTGGTAGTCAATCCTTTGCAAACAGACATAAATGTAAGCCTTATCATTTGCATTCATAAACTTGCTTTGGTTCTTTTTGAAAAAAATATCAGTAGGTACCTACTAAACGTTAAAATATGTTTACATCAGTGATCCGATTCACTCATGTTATAAAAAAGGTACTTATATTTATTCACTTTTAAATAAAAATCTTCATTTTCAAGATTATTGGAGACAAAAAAAAAGTTCATATTTCGCACGTTAGGTGAGAAGTTGGGAATATGAAGGAAAAATTTAATGTGTATCTGTACGCAAAGATCTGGTTACAAACGTTTTAAAAGGCAGTAATAATTACGGTTTGAAAATAATACATTTTGTAAAATTTCTCGTTTTTCCCATTTATTAAGAAACCTTAGGAAAAAAATCAAAAAATGGCCCCCTTTATAATACCACCCCAGTCAGATTTCCTTTCAGAAAAAGTGCAACACTTGAAAATCAGAGCAAAATTTCTGGTAGAAAAGTTGTTAAAAAATTGAAAAATAATAATAAACATTATTGTTAAACCAATACATTCCTCTCACTACTCTCAGAATCTAAAACAACATGATTTTGAAGATATTTTAATTACTACAAGAATAACATTTTTGATTAAATTTTTAAGTATCTATTATATAATATATTACATTTACTTCCTTATATTAGGAACTTAAATTTAAAATTCTATTAATTCTGATGCAAATGAAATGAAATCATAAGTATTGATGAAAATAATTGCTCTTGCAAAATTTAAACTTTATAATTATATATTTATACCCTATTATACTTACGACGAAAAGTTTATAATTGTTTAAAATGTTTTAGTTTTAGTAAATTTTGTAAATTACAGGTAGGTACTAACTTTTGAATAAAGAATTACTTCTCTTAAGTACAAACAAACTAATTTAATACCAGAAAATGTGTAGTTTGAAAAGACTAGAGCACCTTTTCTATCTAAATAAAATATATACAGACATACAATATAAATAAATATAAAAGAAAACACAAATCAACTATTGAAAATAATTAATTTTCTTACTTTGCATCTAAAAGACCCTCAAAAGTACTATGTCAACATTTTAAAAAATATTTAACAATGTGAATTATGTATGACTAATATGAATCTAGAACTTAAAAAATGTTTAATTTAAAACAATTTAAATTTTTTAGAACTAACTTAAAAAATAAAAATATCTCAAGTCCACTTTGATAATAAAAAACAACCAAACAAATTGTTCAAAACGCATAAATTCAAAAAACAAATATTAATATTTACATAATGGTAGCTATTGTTTTGAATTTGGGTTATATTAATGATAACGCAGCATTAATTTCATAACCAACCTCCAAATATAGTTATTATATCAACACATACCCATCTAATGGTGATTACCTCACATAAATAGAAAAAAATCATGTAAAAATATAATTAGCAAATTGTTGTATGCAAATACTACTCATACTCTATTTTAAACCAATATTATGGAACTTAATATATTCCCAATGAAATATCAAAAGATTGATTATTTAAATAATATAAGTTATGTACTACTCATACAGCATTAATAAGCCAAATAACCTTCAACAAATATAATGAATTTGATTTAATTATATAATATTTTATTGAATTTGTTGATTATAAATCAATTTTGTTTATAAGTTTTTGTTTTTTAATACTCTTTTAACCTAATATTTACATCGAATCAATATACACCTTATGCAGTAATGTTTGTGTAACAGCTGCTAATTTCTATGTGATTGGTAAATTTTACATACCTACCGGTCATGTATATATTTCATAATAATTGATTGAAAATAGTTAGGCTTAATAGTATTTATTGTTTATATACTGTATGAGAAACAAAGCCTTAAGCCACAATGGGAATGACCAATGTGAAACAATAATCTAAAATACCAAATCCAAATCTTATCAATATATATGTGAAATGAAACAGATGAAGGGTTTGTTAACATTGCTAACAAATGAAATAATTTATATAAATAAATATTTTTTAAATCTTTTTATCTAACCAGTACACCTACAAATAAGTTTCTACAATAAAATTAAAAATATCAAGTTGTATTTTATAAATTTATACAAAAGTTAATTAAATTATTTTAAAAAAACTGTTAATAATAATGTTAGTTATAAACTTAATAATAAATTATTCAGATTAATTTTCAATACCTAATTACAAAAAATGTGTTTCACAGATAACAACAGTATTTAAAAATGTATAACATTTTTAGTCCTATAATTATTACATAAATAAAAATTCCGGACATTTTCTATTTGATTTTAAGAAATTCCAAGTTAAAAACTAAATCTTACTTTATAAAATAATTTTTTCATAATACTTTAATGAATTTTTTTTTTTTTGGTTATTTTATGTATTTAATTAATTTGTATTAACTGTTACAATTTCTTATTATTAATAGAATCAAATAAAAATTAATAAAAATTTTCAATGTACCTATCTATTAAATACTTAAAACATAATTATACTTATCAAAAAATTGCAAGTGTTCAATTATTATTTTAATAATATAGGTATACCGAAATTTATTTTCCTAGAACTCTAACAATGAATGTCAAAGAATAATTTATTTTGTACTTACATTTATAACAAATAAAATGTTAAATACTTATTAATAAGTTACAATATTACCTATGGCAGTATTACATTGATATTATTTTGTGATTGGGCTTATCTGTTTAAAAAACGGATATAAATGGGTTTATTTGTAATACAACATACAGTAGAGATATATCTGTTGATCCAAAAATGCATGAAGTATAAATGTGAGAATTTTATTTTGTACCAGATATAATATAAATAGGTAGATAAACTGAATAATTGTTAAATGTTTGATTACAAAAAAATCCCTACAATGATAATGTTGCATAATGTGTTTCTTTTCTTATCTATAGATAGAAGAGAAAGAAACTAATTATTTACAGAATTCCTAGAATTATGGTTAAAACATATTTAAAAAAAAACTAAACAATTAAAATTGCAAAAAAAAAAAAAAAAAAAACACTTAAATTATGTTTAATAGTACGGTTTAATGGGTATAAATATTTAAAACTTAGATATAATATTTTATAGCACTAGCGTAAACTTTTAGTGTCTAAATACTAAATACCTTCCAAAACTGATAGTTTACATTGAGAGTATAATTTAAGAAGATGCAAACGAATAATAAAAAAAAATTGCTCATGAATTATTTTTAATTCAAACATGTAAATTTATCCCAAAAGCAGACAACAAATAACTAAAATAAATAACATTTATGTAAAAAAAAAAAAAGAAATATCAAAATATTACTATAATTTGAAAACTAAAAATCTAGTTTATACTACCTACATAGATAATTTGTTAAACAATAGTTTTTTTGGAAAAAAATATTATTCCATCTGGAATTTGGATTTGACCTTTAAATGAATGGCAACTACCTACAATAAATTTTATTTAAAATTGTACATAAATATAATTGATTTTTATCAAATGGCAATTATCATAGTTAGTATATTACATAATTATTAACTTTTAAAATCTTAGTCAAGTATTTAATATTTTCATCACAAATATTATATTTGAAAAACATCAAATTAAGTTAAATTGACTACCTACCTACCTAAGTATTATAAATATGAAACTAATATGTAACTAACTCACCTTTATCAAGTGTCGATTCAATCTGTTCTTCAGGTCTTATATCATTTGTGTCCATTTTGAGCGAATACGTTGTAATTTAATTATCTTTATCTTCGCATGACCCTGAGACTTCTTGCAATTTAGCAGCTACTAACTCATTGAATTTTTTACTGTAGTTTAAACTGATATTAGAAAATAATGCAAATTGAGTTTCATAATAAGTCTGAGAAACGTGAGTGTCTTGGTCGAAAGCTTTCGCAACGACACGGAAACCTCGACTATCCAAGAGCACACAAAACAATTGACTCTCAAGAGTTTCAATATTCAAGTATACACCGTCAGACGCAGTCAACGATGATATCTCGATACGATTCAGCAGGGGTCTTTCGCTTTTTATCACAGACTTTGCTTCGGAGATCCAATCAAGCGGTTTTTCCATGAAAGTTTTTCACACCTGAAACATACAAAAAACTCATTAGCATTCAGTTGAGTGAGTAAAATCAAGACGAACCAGTTCATCAAGCCAAGGTTAATAGGTAACAAATTTGCCTAACCTTGAAAAAAAATGATTTGGTTGAAGGGCATAACAGACCAAAATAACATATTATTTGGTTAGAAAACAAAATCAAAGTATTTAAAAAACTAGTGTGAACGTTGAACAAGAGAATAAAAGTGTAAAGTCTACGGGTAATGAGCTAATTACAGCGTTAATGTACGGACGTACATAAATCATAATACTATTTGCTATTTACTACAATATTATTACCTATTTAAGCGTATACAAAGAGATAAGTGTTCGAGAGATAGGGCAAATAATTTGACTTACGGGTGTTATAATTTGGTTTTTTTTATTTTTAATATTATTGTTCAAAGATTTACAGGGAAAATCTAAAGGAAAGGGCGGGAACCGAAATACCGAGATTCATGATTTTTAAAACAATGCGTCGAGTGTACATATATATAAAAAAAAAAAAAAAAAACGGTCTACAATATCGTTGTAGAAACGTGTACGTTTACGGTAACATTTTCGAAGAGAGAAAAAAAAAATTACAAGTAGGCGAGATACACAGACTAAATCTCTACGGCAAAAAAAAAAAAAAAAAAGTAATAATAATAATAACAGAACCCGAGAAATTATCACTGTTCTTCAACGCCAGACGGTGTTAACGGATATAGGAACGGTTTTTAACGGGTTTGAAGTTAGCGACGATCGATGAAATCGTAATATTATATATATGTGTAGTATACGCGTATATTTTATTTTTTTCTTTTCCCCGTCGAAACTCCGCTGCCGGGTCGCGCACGCTCAATATCAATTGTGTTCCACACGCACGGGACGCGGGCCGCGCATCCCGGTGTCCTACTTCGCCGCCGTCGTTTCGCAGTTTCTCATTCGCGTCGGCCGCGTACGAAACGGAAAACGCGACCGGTACGTTCGCGAACGTAGCGCGTAGCGGACGAGATAGACAACAAAATCAGAACGGTTTTGAAACAAAAAAAAAACCCGAATGACGGTTGAGTAACACGACGACGCGAATAGAAAATATCGCGGGCGTGCTATTCGTCGTGGACCCGGTCGGGGTTTCGTTTCCGACGGCGGCGTTTTCCGCGACGGTTACTTGTCGCGAGTAATTCGGCCGACGGTACCGGGCGCACTGTCTATCGTAATAACATCACTGGTACTGTCGATGATCAGCAACGGGCGACGGGAAAACAATGGCGCGAATCGCGTGCGTTCGGCCCGCGATTTCGGTCGGTCGCGGGCGACACTCTTAGCGGTAAATTCGCGACGGCTAGATAACGACGATGTCGTCGTCGGGTATTTTTGTCGAGGTTACGACCGTTGTATCGGGAAAAACGGCGCGAAACCAAAACGCGTGGGAGGGGGGGGGTGAAACAACAACGGTATTACGTACGCGGGCGGGTTATCCGCGCGAGCCGGTGTGCCCGCGGTGCGGCACGAGATACGAAAACGACCGAAACCGGAGCGGTCTCTTGTTATTCCGTTCGTGTCTCGGCGGCACGGCCGCAGTCCCCGTCGATCCGCGGAAGGGGAATGGGAAGGGGAAAGGATTAATATTAACGCGCGCGGCGCCGCGCAGGTAAACCTGTCGCGGCCCGCGACAACGACAGTGACGTAGGCAGGCGTAATACATTACTTTAGAAAGTCTCTTACCGGAACGGCCGCGTGCACTTGCACGTCGTGGGCGGCGTGTACGGTAACGCGGGCCCCGTGCGTCGTGATCGTGACCCGAAACGCGTTTCTTTTTCGCGCTGCCGACGTGCCGACGTGCCGACACGTCCCAATCCGGCCGACGACGACGCGCCCGGATTACATTGTTCTGAACGGGCGCGAGGAACGTCGCGCGTTCAGAAATTCCGCGAGTGGGGCGGAGGAGCTTGCGGTTTTACGGAGATGTTTTTTTTTTTCTTTATCGTCTTTCCCCACTCTTACCCCGCGGACAGCTTTTCTACCGGAGTTCAGGTTCCCGGTTTTTAAGCGCGGCACCATTTCCGCGGGGACGGACGCATTTTAGGGAGGTCGTTTTCCGGTGGGGGGAGCCGTCGAAATCTCGAGCGGCCAACGTTTGGACCGGTCGACTTGTAATCCCTTGGAAAACGATCCGACGGCTGTCGCCGGTTCGAGGTTTTGCCGGAATTGTTTATTCAAGATTTCGCAGCCGTTCAAAAACACATCGGACATTCATTATTTAATTGCAGATTCGATTTACTTACCTCCTGTAAGCTATACAGCATGTGCGGGAGACATGGAGTTATCATTATTACCAAGCGGTGATATATTTTGTATATATTATACGTAACGTAAACAAGTAAAACTCAAGTTAACATAACAGATCAACTGGAAAAAGAGAAAACGATTTTTTTTATTTTGTTGAATGTTAATATTATGTTGAAGGATTTGTGTAACCCGTGTTGGGCCGTTGAATGAAATAATTGTACAATATAGTTTTTTACCTTTTTTTTTTCTCTCTCTCTCTCTTAATTCTATATTTGAACTTAAATTTATTTTGTACGATTTTTAAATTAAACGGTAAACTGTTAAATAAGTTTAGTCCTTTGTACATGCGTATAAAACGTTGCATTAGTTGTTTAGGTTTATTTATCAATAAGGACCGATTAGAAGTATTCCCTCGTATTTCGAATTTTAAAATCTGTTTTAATTTTATGCACTTCTATCATCGACATTTGTTTCGTATAATTGCCCCGTGTAATTAAGATTTCCAACGTTCCGGATAAATCGACAATATTGTAATTTTGTTCGTAATACTGTTTTAGTAGAATTCCGACAGTAGAACTCTGTGAGCAACGTTCACCGGTTCCGACGTATTACTGACATTACAATGCATTACTATAACAGCGGACCCGCGCACAATTAGTCCAGAAGTCGATGTTGATTGCGAGACGTGTATTATTCTGCCGGCATCGGACATCAATAATATTGCGCGATTCTCTGAACAAACAAAAACGTTTCCTTTTCCGTTCAATCGCGTTACGAACGCGAGCGGCGTCCATTGGCCGCGCTCGTCAAACAGTACGGCCCGGTTCACACCACGTTAGCAGTCCAGTCGAGTAGCCGGTAATTCAGCAACTAAACGTGTATGGGCACAGACCGATCTAGCCGAGTGGTTTAGCGTTGCAATGCAGTCATTCGGCGATCAAGTGGATCCATTTATTACCGTTTTCCTGGTCACTCGCCACACTCGACTAACACACTAACTAACGCGGTGTGAACTAGGACTTATGCCCGAGTATTTTTTTTTTTTTTTTTTAGCGTAGAGTACTCGCTGTGTTAATATTCATACGATATTCGTTGCAAAACTCTTGATTATTTCCGTGAAAACGTTTATTTACGTGAGATTTTAACACAATTTCACTCGGGGAATTCGCATTGGCCAAAGAGAAAGGAATAAATACGGATTTGTTATTATTTAATGATACACTATTGTTAGTGTGCCATTTATCCATTTTTATATTAATCGTAAATTCGCCTTTGACTCCGCCACGCACCAACTTTCATCGTATGATATTTTATGCTAATATATATTTTTTAAAGTAATTTATTTAAAAATATATGAATCATTTTTTTTTTACAAAATTGTCAATAAATTTTAATTTCTTGAAAATTCTTCTTCTGGTCCTAGAAAAAAAAAAAAAAAAATTGTTCGTGTTTACTATTTGAAAATAAATTTAATCTATTCGATGACTCCTCGAGACTTGTTTCAAGGAAAAATCGTATTATACGATTATAAAACAACCATAGTATACAGCGTGTTTCAAAAGTCTTCATCCGATTACAAATTTATATAGCTCAGTAATCGTTGGCCGCAGCTAAACGACCCATATACTGCTGAAAATATAAGATAACCAAGTTTATTTTAAGTTATATAACAGATAAATTTGGCAATTTTTGATGGTTTTCGCAATTTCATTTCCGAAAAACAAGAAAACAGGGTCGTTTGTTTCACGCATTGTTTTTTTTTGATAAAGCTACATTCCATCTAAGTGGAAAGGTTCACCTTCACCGTCATAATGTCAGGATTTGAGCTTTAGACCAACCACACGCAACCGTTGAGCATCATAGGAATTCACCAAAAATCAATGTTTTATGCGCGATTTCCAGGAAATGTTTGAAATCGGATGAAGATTTTTAAAACACGCTGTATATACGATAACAATTTTAAATAATTTTCAATTCAACAGTATTTTGGTTGTATATAAAATGAAATTAAAACGCCGATAAAAATATATTGATAAAATGATAAATTATTTAAAATATGCATTTATATGCAAAATACAATTTCAAAACTAGCTTTTTGAAAGCATGAAACGTATTTGTTTCGTACATTGCATTTTTGTTAATGTGCAAAATAAATATGCAAATGCTATAAGTCCTCTGCCTGAGTCACTATCGTCGATACTTTTTTTAAACTCTTTTGACTATTACGATTGAGAACTTGTATAACTTCACGCAATGTTGACAAATATGCAGTAATCTGAAAATTCAACCATACCAATAATCAAAAATATAAATATTTCGACTTATATTTCTCATATCGTAATCGAGTTTAACGAATCACCTATTGCTGTTTAAAACAGCATATCATACTGAATCCATCGATAACGATAACGAATTGATTGCAATGATCAATCAAAATATTGTACACGTTACTCAGTACGTGGTTTTCTGTATTATGCGTTGTACGCGTAAAATATTTTACGTTTAGACTTAAATAAAATTGAAAATAACCAAAACGTAAGATTTATATATCCTCCGAACATGGTGGAAATTTATTTGTTTAAACTTACACAAATACCTTTTTATTAGACATTTTACATTAGTTTTTCTTAATTATGAGTTGTGAACTTTACGGTATCATTGCCAAAACTTTCGAGGCACTTTTGAACTTTAAGGAAATT